CAGATCAACCAGAGTTTCCAAGCTGGGTGCAGGATGAACCCAGGAGATATCCTAGGCGTCGAGTTTAGGTTTAAGGTTTAGGGTCTAGGGTTTAGGGTTTAGGGTTGAACTTGAAAGGAAATTAAAAGCTATCCCAAACGTTACGGAGTATCTGCATCACCCAGCAGCTTCATTTTCTTTCCATTCACGCGATCCTCATGCCTGGCTTCGTCGAGATCTTTCAACTATCATCTTCTTAATGGCTCCATCAATGTCCGATGCAAACGAGCCAAAATCTTCTCGAAGCTTCCCCAAGACACGCGTTCTGCAGGTCAGCCCCCTCCTTGCGTCTGCGGGACAGACGGCTCCAGCAGTAGAAACCAAGCTGCGAGAGCAATTCCGCAGCCTCTTTGAACTGTATGAGTGCCAGGACCCACAGTGCAGGCCTCGGTTAACATGACTGCAAACTTGAAGAGTCGTCGGACTTAGACAGTGAGGATGCAAGCCGACGCGCGTTTTCAGTCTGCGTTTAGTGGGGCAGCGAACTTGGAATTCAAGAATCATGGGCGGCTCTCAACTCAAGGCAACCAGCTGGGGCACGGGCTGAGCATCCATACCTTCGTAGCGACATGCCCAAGTTACCAAACACAAACACCCCAAAGCCACGCAGTTCAGGAAATTGTCGACGGCAGTGGCCACTCGCATCTGAAGCCACGCCGCCGCGGTGATGGCTTCCACGGTGTCTGTTTGTAGGGTCTCCTCGTTAGCGGTCTCTGCCAGTGCCGCAAGCACCGACGGCTTGCATGCCAGAGGTGCCGCGATGGGTAGGCTTCGCAAGGACACTTGTACTTCCGGGGCATAGAGCATATTGTGCCAGCTCAGGTTGAATGCATCGACATCTTCGGGCTTGTTGGGGCGATTCTCTTGAAAGACAGACCTGGACTTCCGATCAGCTTTAAGATAACGCTTCACCTCAGTGTCAAGCGCAAGATGGTCTTGCAGAAAAAGCTAGACAACTGGAAACCAAGAGGTGCATGGCGGCCATCTCAAACGCTTGGTAGCTTAGTGACCTGGCTCACATGTGAGAGCTATTGACAGACTGACTGCGGTCCTGGCACCTCCTGCGTGTCCCATGCATAGTCGCAAAGGACTGTGCGCACGCGTTCCCTCAATCTCTCAGAGCGGAATTTTCCCGGTTCAACCTGCCAGGTCTCGATCGAACTTCTTGAACTGGTGTCTTATGATCATGTAGCGAGGGCAGGGGTTCCATGACTCTGCTCTATGCTGAACTACCGACAAGTTGGCTTGCACAAACAGGTCACTCACAGGACATAAGTCGATGCACCACCGCCTGCATCAGCAGGCTGTTCAAGCACGTAGCTTGTTCGTGTTTGAGCTATGCAGCTAGGCATGTGCAATCGGGTTGGTTACATGGATTGCTTCTTTCTGTTCTCCTTCACCACTTACTCTTTCGTTGCTGACATAACTGAACCCGTGGTTGTTTCCGTTACTCACTCGACTTCCCCTTACTGTGTCTCATTTTCTTTCACACATTCTCTCTCTCTCTCTCTCTCTTTCTCTCTTTCTTTAGTCAGGGTCTCTCTCTCTCTCCCTCTCTCTCTCTTTCTTTCTTTCGACAGGGTTAGGGACAGGGGTTGCCCCCTCTCTCTCTCTCTCTCTCTCTCTTTCTCTCTATGTCTCTCTCTCCATCTCTCTATCTCCCCCTTTTCTCTCTCTCTCTCTCTCTCTCTCTCTCTCTGTCTCTCTCTCTCTCTCTCTCTCCTTCCACCGGGCATGAGGGTCCCCCGGCCGCATGCTCTCTCTCTCTCCCTCTCTCTCTTTCTCCGCACTTTCTCTCCCCCTTTAGGGAAGTGCTTTTTCGTCGGGTCAACATGCCGATGATACGGCTTTGCTCACCAACCTGCCCGGCCTCTTTCAGCAAGCCACCAACCATTTCTGTGAAATTCTGCCCTTCTCCACGCAGCAGTGTAACGAGCATGCGCAAGGTCCGCTTCTCATCTGCCCGGCTGGCTGCTGGAGTGTCCGAACGCTGCACATGCTGCTTTCGCTTCTCATCCTCTGCATGATGCAGAAGGAACCACATGTGGATGTCGCAAGCCGTCGAGCAGGAAGCCGCCGAGAGCGCTGTGAGTCCATCGGAATCGGTGGCATCTACATCGGCTCTGTGCTGCAGCAGCTCCCAAGCAACATGGCTGTGCCCCGAGACGGCCGCTGCAATGAGGGCTCTGGTTCCCGGGCTTTTGCTGAGCAGATTTGAAGGCTCTGGGACGAACCGGGAAGTCTCTTTACCACTCTCCAACTCATTGGGATCGTAGCCCCCCTCCAAGAACTCCTTCACCTGAGAGATGTCCCAGAGGACAACCAAAAAACCTATCCGCAAAACCGGGTGCGCCGATAGGACCTCATAGATACCTTTATAGGAACCCGTCTGGCAACCGGAAACCGTAGGAGCCTAGCATCCTGTAAACTCCTCCAAGTCGCCTTGTTCAGGTCACCCCTTCCTGCAGCCTGCACCAAGCTGTCCTCCTCTTTGGCCTTCTCGCCCTCGGCACTTGCACTCACCCGGAAGTTTAGGGTTTAGCGTCTACGTCCGCCTTGGGGGACACTCGAAGGGGACACGTTACATAGATACCTCATGAAGAGAACCCTTAAACCTTCGGAACCAAAACCCCTGAAGCCTTCAAAACTGCGCTGGCATGAAGGCCTGCGCAGACAAAGCTCCTACCCTACAAAAGGCTCGAACCCGTAAAACCTAAACCCTTGAAGCCCCTAAACCTCAAAGGCACAAGCCGAACTTCATAAAAGCCCGCCTGGCTCTGGAACCCCTCGGGGGCCGCCAGGGCCAGATCTCCCGTTGGCTGCTCCGCCTTGACGGGATCTGCTGCCACCTTTGGGATTTCAGGGTCTTGCTTCTTTGTGTTTTGGGGTCATAAGGGTTTCCGATACTTGCTTCAGGGTTCAAGGTTTTAGGGGTTCAGTTTGGGATTTAGGGTTTTGATGCTAAGTGCTTTGGGATTTTGGGTCTGTAAAGTTTTGGCACTTGGCTTTAGGGTTTTGGGGATGCGAGTTTACGGTTTCTGGGTGTTGGTGTTCCTGGGGTTTGGTTCTTGGCTCGGGAATTCCGAGCTGTAAGCCAAACTCTCGGGAAGGTTTAGGGATTTAGGGCCTAGGGATTTACGGTTTAGGGTTTAAGATTTGGGGCTTAGGGATTTAGGGCCAAGGTCTAGGGCATCAGCATTGAGGGTTTGACAGGTCCCAGATCATTTTTAGGGTTTAGGGTTTAGCGGATTTCACTTTCTGGGAATACCTTGCATGAGTGCTGAACACGACGGTGTCCATCAACATCGTAAAGTGCAACATGGGTATGGTATGGTGATTCCGACACTCATGCTCCGTGCTGACATGAAAGCGACACATGCCCCACTTGTTGGGGTGAGGACCATGCTCAATTATTCATTGTTGCGACAAGACAATTGTTGACCAGTTGTGCCGTGCACTAGGGTCGCTAGGCGAAAGGAAGCACTACTGCTGCCATTGTCACTACTACCAGTACAATGCTAGCAGCTGTTCTATTAATAGTTGCTCTAGCAGCGGCTGTCAAGGCCGTTCCTATTACTACGAAACTGGTGGTATCATGATTGTTCTGATAATGAAGCGGCTCGAGTGAAGCCGACCGTAGTTGCCGCAGGAGTGTAGGGTAGAAGGCTAAGTCAGCGAGACACCGCATGTTTGCCCTGCAATCCTCTAGCACTGGCCCACATTGGAATCCATGGACTGGCGTATTGT